CTTCATCCCTGTAAAACCTTTTGTGCCATCGTACCACTGGGCAATAACAAAGGGAAGGAAAGCAGGGACACTACAATTTTAGTCTAAGACCTCCTGATTGTCCCTCTCTGGCTTTAAGAAAAGGCTCTGTGCCTCAGATTCCCTACCTGATAAATGGGGAAAGGATGAATGCAAGGGCAGCGCTAGTGAGTGTGGTGCCCAGGAGGTCACAGGAAGGCAGCACCACCCTGAGCCTGTTCAGATCAAGTGCTGGAGACCCAGGTGCTGCCTGCAGTGACCACCAGAGAAGGGTGGCCACCCTTCCTCATTCCCAGGGCTTGGCCCCTACCTTGTTGCGCTTCTCACTGGCATTCGAATGTGGCTGTGGGCTTCCAGAGGAGCTGGCACTGCTGTGTGGTGGGAAGGTGCCTCCACCCAGCTGGGGCTGCAGGGGGAGAAAGCAGGAGCTGAAGCCGTGCTGGTTAAGTCCTTGCCTCTTTTCCCAGATCCGAGCATTCACCTCCTGGCATGGGCCAGGAGCAAGGGATGCATCCTCCCTCCTCCCAGTGCCATGCAGGCAGCACAGCTCCCCTGGAGAAGCAGAGGATCCAAGGGAGGCTGAGCGTGCAGAACTGCAACCCAGGGGACCCACCCACTCTGTGCTTGCTGGTTTTATGCCTGGGGGCATCCCCATCACCTCTGGTTTCTGTTCCAACTCACATGGTAAATTAGAAGCCTCTTGTTCCCCCAGTCGCTTTCCAATGGCTTCTCTGGGTTGTTTGTGTCTTGAGTGTGCTTGGGACCCTTCCAGTCGTCCTCCAGCAGTTGTGCTGGACTCTCAGGCCTTTTCCAGCTGTCATCTGGCCGTAGTCTTGTGTCCAGACATTTAGCAGGGCTTTTCCAGTCCCTTTCCAGCTGGTGCTTCAAGTCTGCATGGCACACAGGCTTCCCTTGTTGCTTCCAGTCCTTCTCCCATGCCTGCGCTTGGCGGGCATCCTTCCGACCCCCCCAGTCCTGCTCCAGTGGTCGTGTTGGGCTTGTGGGGCGCAGAGGTTTGCCTCGGCCTTTCGAGTCACTGCCGATGCCCTTCCCAGGATGCGAGGCTGGCAGCTTTTCCCGGAGGCTCTGCCAGCCACACTCAGATGGCTTCCCGGGCCTCCTGAGCTGCAGTGGCTCCCCCGACTTCACCCGTTGCCTCTCTGCCCCCCGCACTGTGCTGGGAGATGAGATCTTTTGGCTTCTCCACGTGCTCTCCATATGTCTCCCAGGACTGAGGGATCGTGCTGGTGCCCCTACCTGGCTCAGCCTCCTGTTGTCCGAGCCCTTCCCAAGGCCTGCAGGGTGCAGAGAGTCCCCTCGGCTCTTCCTCTCCAGGACTTGCCCTGTATTCCTGGCCTGCCAGGTGTCTCGGCCCCTCTCTGAGGTTTGTGGCCAGCTGGGCTCCCCTCGGCTTCTCCAGCTTTTGTCCGAGTGCCAGGGAGGGCTCAGGGGCTCCCCTGCCCTCCGCTCTGACCGAGGAGCCGGGCTGGCGGAGCGCGGGCTCCGGCTGCCTCTCTCCAGCAGCCAGGAGGGGCTGGTGGGCCGCAGGGGGTCCCCCCGGTTCTTGCTGGTCTTCTCGGGGTGCCGAGCTGGGCTAGGGGAACGTAGGGGCCCCTTGGGGTCTCTGCTGCGCTGCTCGAGGTGCCACGTTTGCCGCTGACCCTAGGGACGTGGGGGAAAGCAAACAGTCCTCTTAGAAAATAAATAAATACTGGTGAGCAGGAACAAGACAGGATTAGGTCTGGGAGACAGATTGGCTAAATAATTCCCCAGACAACAACTGCATCCTCATGCATGGAGCCAGTCTATGCTGAAGAAAAGCCTCTTGTACCCAAAGGGTGAAGGTGCTGCTGCCATTTAAGAGCCAAAAGTCCTAGTCCATAGCCTGGGAATAAAGGGAAGGAGGAGCAGGAGAATGGAAGAGAGAAGCATGTGGCAGAAATAGAGGAAGGTGTGGCTGGGAAAAGCAACCCTACGTGGGGAGCTGAGCTGGGGCCCTGCTGAGCAGGCCTCACCTCCTTGGGCAGGCTGGGGCTGGACTGTCTTGGAACTGGGCGGCCTTTGCTGGGTGGCACTGGGGTCTTGCCATCGAGTCGGTCCACACGGCCCTCCTCCAGGGCCTGGAAGGCCTCCAGGGTCTCTGATTTCCTGAGGGCACACAGAGTTTGTCTGGCTGCTGCCAGGCTCAGCTTGGAGGCAGAGCCCCTGCAGACCCTGCTCCACCTAAGCCTGACCCCACAGACCTCCACCTGCCCCAGGTGCTGTGTGCATCATAGCATCTCCCTGACCCCATCACTTCCACCACCCCAGCTTTCATGTCGTGCTGCTTCCCCCATGTCTTCTTCACACTATTCCTTAAGCTTCCCTCCATCTGGCCCTTCACATCCCACCCATCTGTCCAGCCTACTTCCATGGTCCTCACTTACATCCCATCCTGCCCTGTGCCACTACACTTGGAGCCAGTGGTACTTCTCCAGCCAAGATCCAACCAGGACTGGGTACTTCTTGGCATCCCCAGTCCTTTCCTGAGCAGGGTCCTAAGGTGGACCCTAGATCCCTGGGGAGCCACTGACACTGCAGTGAGGACCACCTCTTTCCTTTCCCCTTCCCATGGCTTGTCCTGCTCAGCAGCACATCCTGCAGCTTCCAGGAGGTGGCTGTGAGGATGAGGAGGGTGGGAATCTCCCTCTGCATCCAGTGGAACAGCTTTGCTCCACTTTTCCAATGGCCTTAGCTGCCTGTGTGCTGCCAACAGGCGAGCTCCCCACGCTGGCAGGTGCTGAGCCTAAACCCAACCCTTGCTTTAAGGGAAACTTAAGCACAGCTGAACGCCGATGTTCGCCACCTAGCCCCACTTCTCTCCCCGAGGCAGGGCAACTGGGAGGCAGAGGCCTCCCAACAGCAGAGCGGGGCGATCCCCCACCTCTGACCACTGCACAGACCCCTTGCTTCTCACCTGCGCTGGCAGCCAAATATCTTCTCCACCTCCGCCCGGCCGGGGCTGAGCGTGCGGGAACCACAGCGGTCGACAGCATCCCGCTGGCCGAGGCGCTTGGGCTTGGGCAGGTCTGCCAGCACCGTGTACT